TGCACACTGAATTCCCTGCACAAGGAGTCAATTGTAGGAGTAGAAATTCAGCACTTAATCAACACAACCATTCCACGATGCAGCTAATTCTACTCTAAAGTGAAATTAAACCAAAGCTGAGAGGCCAAATTTCATGAGGCATCTGAGACAATCTATTACTACAAGGAACAAGTATGGGCCTATTCACGCCATCCTTTGTCACAACTTCACCTCCACCTACCTTGTGTTTGCAGGGCTTTTATGGCACCAGCAGTGATCAGCTATCAATTCATCAGGTAAATTAAACTGATAAAAAAAAGTGAGGAGGATAATTATTTGCTAGTCAGGTGAACTAAATTAGCTCACTAGGTTGTCAGATGGCTATCAAAGTTAGCACAAGAGAAAATCTGGCAACTGCAAAAGTGGGGAGAGGTAATTGGGATTGTGCTTTTTGTGAAAAGCTGTTGCTGGTCATACAGGCAGCAGCTAACTTCACAGCTGAAAGACAATGCAAAGAGAGAAAAGGGGAAAGAAGAACGCGAATGTAACCTTTGGCGACTGCTTATTTCTATATCAGCTGCTACAGAAGTACTTCCTCACATTTTTTTCTTTTGCACTTTACTACCATGCACATTTACAATGAAAGTCTGAATACAAATAGATCCCACTATACAATTAATAGAAGGCACTAATGTTTTTACAAAGACAAATCATGCAATGTACTTATGCTACAGACTTTATACAAATCAAATCTATTTTGTATTACACAGATTCAGCTTCCCTTTTATAGAGAAAATATGTAAATTTAAGCTTGGGCCAAACTCAACTGCTAGGAAACTGTAGGGAACTGGTGTTCCTCCTTAGCCCTTTATTGTCAACACCCTACATGATGCATATGTTTAAGTAACCTATGAAAAAATAATTATTTGAGGCAGTTTTTATTATTAAACTTTAACATACAGGGACACAAAGGTGTAAATTGCTGCCCCCATTTTTGCCAGAAACAGTCTCCCCAAAAGGAGCACAGCAAGGTGTGAATTGTATCCTGATAGCAACTGTAGCTTGATTGAGGTGTTAAATTTCAAAGCTGTTATTTTAACTCTGAACAAGGCCACCTGTGAAAAACATTAACCCAAATCAGGGATAATTAAACCCCTGCTATTGTTGGCTATTTTTCTCTTTATTCCTTTTTATTTTCCCAAATAATGGATTGCATTTAGTGATCATTATAAAAAGGTAGTGATCTCATGAAAGCTTAATAGGAAACCACCCAAGGCCATTAAAGAAAAAGGTGGAACTCATTCTGATCTCCCCATTGGTAATCCATCCATCCTAGTGTGGAAATTAAGGTGAGGAAGAGGTGGTGATACCTAGCTGGAGCAATCCCAGTTGGGAAGCTGGAATGCTGAGCATGTCCTAGCCTCAGAAATTTGACTTTGTTCCAGGTTCTGCCAGTTGGGACGTAACACGAGTGTGTGCTCAAATCAGTATTATGAAATACGTAGTGCTCAGTAAATTTGCCTTCTAAAATCCTTTGCTGTAATCTCTCCATGTTGATGAGACCTTAATGTAGTCTATATCCTTGCTCTGACAGGTATTTTCAGCATATCAAACTGATTTGCCCTGGGCTGGTTTAACTGATGTTGATAAGGACAGCTAGAGACAAAAAGCTTCATTGCAGAAGTGCCTGTGCCTCCCTCCCAGCAGGGCATGTACTCCAGCTAATGCAGTGCTGAAGTTTCTTGGAAAAAAAATTGGCTGCACATGGTAGACTCTTCCCTTCTTACAGTTCAAGATGCGGTTCAACAGCAGATTAAATTGATCTCAGCTGGGCCACTGAGTCCTTCCCTTCCCTGGCTGCCACCCAACCTCATTTTTAAGGTCAACTGAAACTCAGGCAAATAAGCAGGAAAACAGTGTGCAGAGCTGAGCGTGTTGAAAACAAAAAGTATTTGCTGGGCAGGCTTCCTGAGCTAACATCAGCTAGTGTCGCAAGGTCCAGACCCAGCAAAATAGCACATGTGGCAATTCTGGTGTTCAGGGCTGACCTCCAATTTAAAATACATTCAACAGCAGCAGCCTGCAGCTTCAGAACATAAACTGTCCCATTCCCCTCTCTTGGTTAAGACTGTTCTCTTCATTTGTGTGTTTTCTGTCTGAATTCTAATGTAAACTGATGCAGTACATTGATCAAGAAGAAAACTCGTTCCAGAAACAAATGCAACAAATCCCTTTTACAGGTAGAAATCCAAACCCAAGGTCCCATGGGTACTATTTGCTCCTTCTTTATCTTTCCTTCTCATTTTTTCTCTTGGCCTTCTTGAGACACATTGTTAACCATGTTAGAAACTATATAGGTCCATGGGCAATCTTCCCTCAAGACTTGTGCTGGCTGACCCCAGCAACTTCTCCATTTGCCAGCATGGAAACCAAAACAGAGAATAGCTCTTGTAGGTCAGATAGTAAAGGAAGTGCACCAGAAGAAGGGAACAGAAATTACTCATAAACTGAGATTTAAATTGTTAGATTGTTTATTTCCAAGAAAAGTAGTGGCAAGTTGCAAGAATATGCAAGCATATTTATTCAGTCTTTCAAGTTATGAAAAAATTAGTTTTGGATATACATGCCTATCTCACCTCAGTATTTTGTAAATGCATTTTAAAATTACTTCTGAATTTGTGATTTATGTAAAAACAGTATTTTAAAACTTTAGCAAGATTTTACTGGTATTATTTCAAGGTACCTATACATACAGGCTGATACCGATCTATGAGTTCTCCTACATAGCTCTGATTCTTTTTTTGGGTTTGATCCAAAATGCTGGCATAAGTGGAAATCTGTTCAAGAAGTTTTGAACTTGACCTGTTTTATTGTGAGTGGAACAGATTTGGTCATTTTCAAAGCTATTTTTTCCATTGTGGTGTTTAGAGTTCCAGGAATTATAGATCATTCAAAACCTACAGCATGTCACATCCTCTAATAAATCCAGTAGCTTTATGCCCTATTAGCCTGATCTGTCTTTGCAGTGGAGAAGAATAGATTTTTTTATTATTATTTTCTTTTCTTTTTAATAGTAGTTGTCATTTAAACATTTTATGTTGATGGACTCTTCATTTGCTAATGCATGACAGTTTTCAAGAGTGTAACACAACTGCATCAGCGTCCCTTTTGATTTAAATGAGAGAAATATTCTATCTAGGCTAGACAAAGTGTGGATTTCATATTTCTTGAATGCAGTACAGTATTTCTTCTAATTATTAGCTGGGATTTATTTTGCAGAAGGTTGAACATCTCCATTTTAATGATGAATCATTTTCTTTTTCTGTGATGACCACAATTGCCTTGCTTGACCATGATTACCATGCTTTCCATGGTATATAATTTATATGTTGACACAAGTGGATATACAGCAAAAATCTCACTCATCCAGCCAGCCTAGGATTAAGACAGATTACCCTTTAAAGCACAAGTTTGCAGCACATATAAGAAGTACATGAAAACAAAATCTGAATATTCCCACTTTGAGTTCCTGGTCTCCTTAGCATAATATCACTTTGTTTCCTTTTATTCAGAGAAGGGAAAGACGATTCTATTTAGTCATTAACTAAAATGCTTTAAATCTCTTGATTTAAAATTCTGTGCTTTATGCGTAGTTTCTAGCATCTTATTCAGCAGATTTGTTACTGAAAGGAGATCTAACACACATTGTAGGTACTGCTGTGTCCATTATAGGAATTACTGTTTCCTGGCAAGATGTAAGCAGTACTTTAGCTGTGCTTTAATGGAAAACAGCAAGGCATTTTCCTTATTTATCGAGAAAAATAAAGATTCTAAGCTGGTAGGTAAAAGCTGCAGCTTTATTTACAGCACCCAACCATTCTGAAAGATGTCAGTGTACACTCATACATACATTACTCCAGCAGAAATGGAGACACCACCCATTTCATCAGTGGAAATCCCTAATTGAATGAATGGAGTAACACCTTCTCTGTAGCCAAGTAGACATTTACATCAAGGGCAGAAAGGACTCGTTTCTTACATACTCATAAAATATAATTATATAAAAACATCAAAAAGAAATGACGAACAGTAATACAATTGCATTCAAAAGCCACGTTTGGGCTATACAGTCTGGACTACTTACGTTCTGTTTTTGTGTCAATAGTTTTATTACAGGGATGTTCGTTAATATAGGCAGAGCAGTGGGCATGAAAAAAGAAGTGCTCACCATGCAGCTCATCCCTTTACAGGAATGAACAGTGGTAACGGAAGGCCATTTGGGTCACTTAACACTGTGCCATGGGCACTTTACCCTGGACAGCCTGATCTAGTGGGTGACAACACTGCCCGTGGCAGTGGGTTTGGAGCTCAATGGTCTTTGAGGTCCCTTCCAACCCAAGCCATCCTATAATCTTGAGAACAAACTCTACAGAGTCTGCTTTATCTAACAATAAATGTAATGGACAGTTTTGCTGCACATGGAACACAACACAAACCACATCCTTCTGGAATCAGCTGCGACTGCCATTTTGGGGGGTCCTGCACCATGATAAAAGAAAGCCGCCCTACACCCCACTTGTGCGAGCCATTTTATCTTCCTTTTGTCCTTTTCTAGTTTTCCTCGATTTCGAATCATTCACAGTCAGAATACGTACGCTCCGCACAGGGCGAGAGCCACACAATACCGCGGCGTTGCCATGGGGACTGCCTCAGATCAGCCTTTCTCGGTGTCTTCCCCAACAGCCGAAGCCAGCAGCTATCGATAGGAAAAAGCAGCGGCGCCTTTCTTTGATAGCGGCGTTCACACGGCGCTCTCAGCATCTCACTTCTCCTCCCTCAAACGCACTTCCATCTCCGGCCCTTCTGCCGGAACGCTCTGGTTAACACAACCTCGTACATATCACGATCGCTAAGCGCAATAACGCTCGGCTTGGCCTTGTAGCACGCGGGAACAGCCGCCCTAGGGCGAGGATCGTTACTCTGCAGCCGCACCGGGCGACGCCGCTCTGCTGTGAGCACGTGCGGCCGCATGGGAAGTTCGCAGCCACTCCGACGGACGCAGAGCAGGCGGAAACCCCCCGGGGGCGGCCGGGCGAGCGGGCACGACGATACCCCGCGGGGCCGGGCCGGTGCCGGCCGGAAGTGACGGGCGCTTCACCTGCTGGGCGGTGCGCGCGGGGCGGGGCGGCCGCCGGGAGTCGCGGAGAAGCAGGCGGTGGTGCCGCTCGAGCCGCGCTATGGAACCGCCGCCGTTGGTGCTGCTGGTGGGGCTGGTGCTGCTCGCCGTCGCAGGTGGGCGGCGGGACGGGCCCGGGACAGGGGAGGCGCCGGGGTGCAGGTGGAAGGGAAGGAGGGAAGAGGAGCGGTCGGGGCTGCGTTGGGCTGAGAGAAAGGGCGGCGGCGGTGGCGGTGGTGGTGGGGTTGGGGGCTTCTCCCGCCCCTCTGCCGGCCCCTGGGGTGCTGCCGAGCCCCCCCAGCCCGCGGTGTGGCCGCGTAGCAGGGTGTGTTGCGCTCGGCGCCCGGCGGGGCGGACCTGGGCTTTGTTCGCCGCCGCGTTTTGTCTCCTTTCTCTTCCTCGCCGCGTGCATCTGCCTGCTCGCCCCTTTCCCACCGCTCGGGCTTTGCGATTCCTTTCATTCCGCCTCTCTTTCTTTCACCGATTCAACTTCCAACGTGGTGGCGGTGAGGATTGCGAGAGGCGCTTCCACGTGGTTCCCGGCGAATGGAGCGTCCCGCCGGGTCCCCACGGCTGCGGGCAGCGGTACGGCCGTGCCCGGTACGCACGGCGCGGTGTTTCCGCAGCGGTCCCTGCCCTGGTGCCTGCCGGCACCGCCCGGGAGTGAGTGGCTGCGGTGGGCGGCGAGGCTGCAGGCTGCCTGGGAGCGGGCATCGAGAGAGCCCGCCAGGGAAAACCGAACGTGGGGAGGAAATAGAGCCTGAGAATCTGCGTGGTTAATGCCTCTTCAGGGCTGGTCTCATTCTGGGAGGGTGGAAGAGACCTTGGTGTCTTATGGGGAGTGGCTGAGTGAAACGAGATTGTTCGATGTGGAGAAAAGGAAGCTCAAGGGAGCCTCTGCAATTCGCTGAAAGGAGGTTGTGGCGAGGTGGGGGTTGGCCCCCTTCTCTCAGGTAACGGCATGTAATGGCTTTATCCTGTTCCAGACGAGGTTCAGGTTGGATATTAGGAAAAAAATTATTCTCAGAAGGAGTGATGATGCAGTGACACAGGCTGCCCAGGGTGGTAGTGCAGGCACTGTCCCTGGAGGTGCAGAGACCACGTGGATGTGGCACTGAGGGACATGGTTAATGGGCACGGTTTGGGTGGGTTTGTGGTTGGACTAAGTGATCTTAGAGGTCTTTTCCAACCTTAACGATTCTATGATTTGGTGACTTCCAGAGAGCACTTGCAAGTTTGATTGTTCTGGATTAAATGAGGATGACTGAATTTTATGGTGGAAAAAGGGGGAAAATGAGGGATTGTGAGGGAGTAAAAGCATTTGAATTAAATACTGCGTCAAAACAGAAAAAGCATGTTTGTTCAAATGAAAAGTTGGCAAACACCTGGATAAATTGAGATCAATAAATCAATTGAACCACGTGCAATTACTTGCGCTTCCTTACTTCAAACGTATCATTTGAACCAGAATTGTTTCAGACCTAAGTGAAACTACATAAGATGCCAAAACACCTACAGAGGTTAATGTTTAGAGCAAAGCATGTCAGGCAGATAGGGTTTGTTTCCTGTTGGAATGCTGATGCCATTGTTGATGTCACCTCTGTTTTGGGAAATTACTCACGGGATCAAAATTCTGTTTCACAGAGTGATGAGCTCTAATCCCTTGCATAAAAGGGTATTGGTAGCTCAGCATTAACTCGCTCTCTAAGCAGGAGTTGTGTAAGGACTATGAATTACAAGTATATAGAAGGTAGGTTAAGTTTTATATTAAAGTGTTTCTTGTAACAAAAGCTGTGAAAAAATGCTTGAGCAGAATCGTATGCACTGCAGATGAGCAGGATCCTCTGCTATGAAATGTGATAATGCTATAAAGCTGGAGATGATTAACACAAAGCGACGTGCAAAGCCACAACCAACCTTTACACCTTCACTTCTCTGAGGTGTGTGTGTGTGTGTCTTCAGACGTCACTGTGAAACTGGATGATTTCGTGTACTTCCTTCAAGTATTTGGCTTTCTGAGTGTGTGCTTCGATTAGGAGTGGCTTTGCTTATTTGATGGCATGGTTAGTTGAATAACTAGTCTGAAAGATGCACAAATCTCATAGTCCTCTGAAGGAAACAACTTAAAAATCTGTGCATCGCAAGTTAATACACCAGAGGTTGCTGGTGTTTTTTCCTCCACAAGGCTGAGTTAATATTTATGTCGGTGCTCCTGGCAGATGTTACTTCCTTTGTTGAGGAAATAGATACTGCTTTATGGACCAGAGTTAGAGGAAGGGAACTCGTGTAGTTGTGTGAAAGCTGTTGGTGATAGAGGGCTGTCTCGTTGTTGAAGTCCTTGACTTTGTGGTCGCGGAGTAATTTTATCATGATACTTCAGGGCTTAGTCTGTGTTATGTACTCGTTTTTTCCCACTCTTCTCTGTAAGCCTACTGTTTCTTGTTTCCATGTTACTAACAGTTGAAGATTGGAAATAAGCCTCTTGATTTGTACAGAATCAATTATCTTGACTGTGCAAAACAGATGCTCAGCTATGCCATTCTGTGTTGAAAGAGAAAAGTGTTTGTATTTAAGCTGTCCCTGAACCCTGCTCAGGGATGTAATATCTTTTCTAAGGTCAATTTCACAGTCATAAATAACTGAGAGCTTTCCCTTGCAGGAAGGAAAGAATTCATACAAGAACGTTTTGGGATATAAGGGGAGAACAGTCCTCTTTACCCCTATCATTGTAATTGGTCCTGTGTTGATTGTAGCCATTGCCTCTGTATTACTTGTTTGTGCAACTGATGGTTTCCTGTGGTGTTTTCTGAGTTGGTGCTTCTGGAGAATGCCCACACACAGAATGGATCGGTGTAGTGAAACTCAGTCTTCTGCTGTCTTGAGGACTTAGGATATGAATTTGACATTTGAATGGCTTTCTGCAACTGTACAAGCTTTTCTAAAGCTATTTTACTGATTCTTCTCCAACTGAAAATGCACGCCAAGCCTGTGACAAATGACAACTTGATGTTATGTATTGTAGTTACAATAGTACAATAGGCCATGTCAAGTAGGTGGGGATTTCCAAAATGTGCAGATTCTCTTTAATATTCTACAGCTGTCACCAACAAATCCTGGATTAGGATAATAGAAATGTTGAAAGTATACCTCTTCAGATGTTGAAATATTTTACTGATAGAATTGGTATTAAATTGTTTTCCAAAGGATGATGCAGAATTCTGGTGTAAGGGGTGGAAACTCAGTGGCAGGTCATTTTGTAGGTCTTGTGATGATGCAAATTGGTGCATTGAGCTTTTTTTTTAATTAATTCTAAGCTTTCTGAGCTCTTGATCATCTCAAGAGTAATAAGGGAATCAGGGAATCATAGTCTGAGGTTGTCAGTGGCATTGAGCGTGTGTTTGCTTATTCTAACAGGAAGTGTGTTGTAAATATTTGTAACCCTTCCCTTGGTATACGGTATTGGAGAAGTTGTCTTGAAGCATGGTAAAAGTTTTTGCAGGGTTTCAGAATGCTTGAGAATATATATAGCTGCCAAACTTGCAGCTTTTAACAAAGAAGATACTAACATTTTTTCTTAATGTGTAATGGCAGAACACAAGCTTTCCATAGCTATGAGATGACTGCAAAGATAGATTCTAATCAGTGTTAACGCTTCTTAATATCTATACATCTATGGTGATCCTTTTAGCCTTCAGGAAAGGTAGTAATGCACTGCACATAAATTCTTAGGAGTTATTTACTTTGAAAAGTGGATTCAGCTTGGTTCATGGTGGTAGGTTTTTGTATTTTTTTTTTTTTTTTTTTAACAATACTAGCAGGTAACTCTGTACTCTACTACATCCTGCACTGTTTGAAGCTTTTTTTTTTTTAATAGAAGATCAAGCTATTAGTTAAATAATGTTTGGATAGGGCAGTTATGCTAGATTTTCTCAAAAACTATCATTAAGTGGTATTTGTGAAACTTACAGAAGTATTTCTGACAATGCTCGTGGAGAGCAGAACACGGTAAGTCAGCATTTGGTGGCTAGTACACTTTGTCAAGTATGCGTAAGAGGGAACTTAAGCCTCTTCGTGTTTTTATGCAGCAATAGGATCTCAGTGAAGCTTAACTAGGAGAAATTTGACTACCTCTGGGATTAAATGATCACTGCTATCCTGGTCTCTCAAAATGCCGAGCTTGGTGCATTTGGTCTGCCGAGGAATAACTTCAGCTGTTTTCAGAGTTCAGGTACTTCTTAACTTTTAACATCACTGGACAGTGATCTGATGCTCAGAACTCTTCTCCTGTATTTCCCAAATCTTTTTATTTTAAGTAGTATGAAAAAAGCAGTAACTGATGTTGTTTGATACATCTAGTTACTGCTGTGACATCAATCTTAAGTTATGAATGACAGTCACCTTGCTTCATTTAATCTTCTATTTATCTGAAGGTATTTTATGCATTCTGCTGCAGAGATTATTGTAGCTTGTCACTTAGGTCTCCTGGCTGGCTCCCCTTGCTAGTTTCCTCTGTGTTGGATCAAGCCTCAGCTGCCTGTCTTCACTTTCAGTACTTGTCACAGCATTTTCCATAACTGACTCTGCTTTATATAGAAATGAAGCTACCACACCTAAATGGGGATTTTTTTCAGCTTCTTTCACTTTTTTTTTAAGCAAAACAAAAAACCAAATACTTGTATGCTTTGCCTTTGATTCTATTTGTGAGTCAAGAAATTCCTTGTAACCATCTTCAAATCTATCTCAGCCTCAGAGTGTTATGAAATTCATTTGCCTCAGTGACCCAAGAGATGCATATACACCAAGGAGCTTGTTTTTGGGGCCAGTATTGTTTCATCATACTTCTTAATTAAATTAATCATTTGTTGTTTCTTGCATGTATTCATGAGCTTTTAATGGTAGGGACTCATTTTTTTTGCTCACATTGCAACTTCATTTCATGAAGCTTTTAGATGCTGTGTGAAACATTAAATATGTTTCAACAGTAGTATGGCTCAGCAGCTTGTAAGAAGAGCTCCCCTGCCAATTACATCAATTTAGTCATTGCTGGCTAAGTATACAGTCAGCTTATGTTGCCTTTTCTTTGAATTCCTCTTTTTAATAGTTTTTGTTGTACAGG